AGAATTTAAAGGAGATAAATGTATGTATCTCTTTCTATCGCTTTTTTTTCCCTGTATAGGCAGGAAGCTGATATACATGCATGATGACTCAGAAAACATCGCTGACAACTTTACAATCCAGCTATCAGATGGGAAACACAAAGTCCTCAGAACCATTTCAGTAGAGGTCATTCCTGTTAATGATGAGAAACCAGTGCTGAGCAAGTAAGCTACACATTCCTATCTCAAACCAAAGGATGAGTTTGAGCAAAATTATCCAGAAGTGATCAAAACAGCACATCAGCAATCGATAGAGCTAGGATGCCATAAATAGTCACAGAATAATGTCAACAAAATTGTTGCTGAGGAAGTTGCCATCAATCTATCTAAAAAAATCATTTTCAGTGGGGAAGGGTGCACCATAATGTAGCCTGGCTTTTGAAGGAAAAAAAAATGTGGTACTGATGGCACACAGGGAGATAGCACAAGAAGAAAGAAGGCAACTAGTCTGTTCTGTCTACCATGCCCTACTTCAAAATGTTTCCCAGGGAGCCCTGATCTTCGCACATCTCCGCTGGCCCCTGCACATGGTGCATATGGCCTCTGCCACTTGGTTTCCTCCTTCCCTCAGGCTACAAGCTGTGAAAAACATCTCTCTGAAGGCAGCTCAGCACAGTGTCACAGGGAGTCCCCAAGGCTGGCATCTCCTTGTCTTACAGTGGAAGATGTTTAATCCTGGAAATACTTCTTTTCTATTACAAAACATCATTATGCAGTCATAACTCATGCTAATTTCCTATACTCTGCAAAACTAGTTTTTTGAAATAATTAATCTCAGGATTAGGCCTGGTCATATATTGCCTAGCAGACCATTGCCAGGCAGTTCACAGGTAGCCATGGAGAGATGTTGATAGGCAATGTTGTAAGAAAGTCTGAACCTCCTAACACTGTAATGAGGAGTTCTCTCTTGGGATCTTATCTGGTAACTGCCACAGAGTATCAGGCCTCCTGTTCTCCTGGCTCCCCTCCAGCCCCAAGGTAGGTAAATGGGAAGCTGGGGGCCTTAAAACCTGGGGAGCATAGCTCCAAACCACCAAACCAAGCATTTCAGACAACCTGTCACACAGGCTGCCACTAGACTGGGAATGCTGATGTCTCTGATTACACAGCCATAAATCGATCATTCAAAAACGATAATCATCATCAGTTCATTTAAAATTTTTAAAATTTTAATAAAAGGTATAGTTCATCTATTTGTATCATGTGCTAATAATTACTGTTTAAATGTCACTGCTCATTTGTTCTCTGCTCAGTAAGGATTGGCATGTCATTCTCCACACTTTTTCTCCAAAAAAAGAAAGTGGTGGAGTGCAGGAAGCCACATGTCTTTCCTTTGTCCACCTGGATCAGGAACTGTTGTTTTCTCAGTTGTCAATGTCAGACCTTATCATTTGACCTATGGTGAACATAGGGCATAATGAGCTGTTTCCTTGTAAAACAGCTATTGCATTATGGCAAGTTACCACTTCTTACATATTATTCTTCTATTGAGGTGGAGCATGCAAAGAGCAGCTAAGTGATCTAAGAGGTCTAAGGAAACGTGTTTCCTGTAGCATTGAAGTGGATTTGCCACCACATGCGGTTGGTTGCCGGGTTTTTACTCAGGGGCAGGTATTCCCGTATGCCACTGAAATGGTTTATGAGCGGACATATGACAACACCTGTATGCTCGTTTTCACTCTGTGGTCAGGGAGCACATTTCCAGGCCAGGGAGTTTTAATCCTCACCTCCATTAACTGTGGTCACCAGACTGAAGAATCTGGATGGCTGTTTTGGCCTGGAGCCACAAAACCTGGCCTGACCCACAGTGACTGCCAAACAATCAATCTGTCCCCTTTCCACTTGTGTCCATGGGGAATGTAAGACCCTCAGGTATTTCCTTAAAAGCTTCATTTTAAAATCGGTCACATGGATACTATAAAGACTTAACCATCTAATTTTTATATGAATAAATGAGCTGGGATTCGACAGTATTCAGAGTGCAACTAAATGTGGGTATCTTCACTCTTTTGTTGTTTGATGCTTGTCTTCTTAGCCCATCTGTGTCAGATACGTAATTCTTCTGTATACACAGCCCTAACTGCAACATCATTATTACTGATAGGAGTCATAAATCTTGAGGTTACTTGTCAGGATGTTAGTATGACTTGACATACTTTGCTATATCACTTCATCTTAGCTGCTTATTATTTTGCCAAACATGACATTTCTATGCCTCAAATATCTGTGTCAGTTTGAATATGGAAGTGTCAGGCAAACAAGTTCTGCAGTTTTCGAAAGCAGTAAATGTATTTTCAGTTATCAATAAATAACTGTGACAATTTTCTTCTGTTGGAAAGCTCAGTTATCACTTCATAGCAAGCACTTGAAATCTGGCAAAGACTTAGATGAAGGATATGTATTTTCTGATTCTTGTAAAAATTTCCCTGCATTTGGTAATGCCAGAAGACTTTGATTTTCACGAGCACAGTAGACTCTGGCCGGAGCTTAGCTGACAAAATGCCTGAGGAGTCTGTATTTGCTGAGGGCCCCTAGGCTCTGGGCCCCTAGGCAGGCTTGAACAGGTCCCATTCCTGGGCTGACTGAATATGCGGAATCCCCTCCAGTATCTTGTAATATCAATAGTTCGGGTACATGTTGTAAAAATTTAAGACTGCTAAGAGCAAAAAGATAAGGCGGGGTGTGGAGGGGCAAACCAGAAGATGTCTAGGAGGTTGGCTGAGAAGGGAAACAGAGTAGGCATGTTTTGGGAGCAAGGCTTTGGAGGAATTTCAAGCTATGTGGGATTTCTCTGAAGCACGGTCTCAAATTTTATTTGGGAATAGTGATGGCCATTTCTGCCAAGTACTAGATCCCTCTGCTTAAACTACTTCTCTGAACCCAGAACCCAGTCAAGTTCTACAGTGCGAAGTATTAGAGGAAATCAGTTAGGTTTCTGTAGGGCAATGCCCTTTAAGGGAAAAGCAGTGTCAGGCTATTCGCAGGGAAGACAATTTCTCCTCTAAAGAACAATGGAGTCATCGTTGCTATGGTCTATACCAGCAGCAACATATAACAGCCTCTTATAACCTATTTGGATGTAAGTGGAAAGGGCTCAGGGAGAGAAGACAGATGTGATAAATTCCAGGGTGTTGCGTATCTGGGCTTTCTTGTTTTCTACTATTGCAAGGGGAAGCTGGTCTCTCCTATTTCCTCTTCTTCTATTTTAACAGAAATAGGGACCCTCCTTCTTTCTTCTGCAATTGTTATTTCTGTCAGAATTTGGCTAATCTATATTCTTGGAAGCAGTTTTATGTGTTGTAAAGGCTATTTTCTGTTTTACATGTATGCATGACTTCTTATTTTTGCAGGAAGAATGATATAGAGGTGAACATGGGTGGAACCCGAATCATTTCTAGTGCTGTTCTGTCAGCTGAAGATAAAGATACCCCCAGGGAGCGAATTTACTATGTATTGGAAAGAATTCCAGAAAATGGGCAGCTTCAGCTCAAGGTTAGTCCTTTATCAAAAACAGGCACAGAAACAACTCTCGCATTCGGATGAAATGAAGCTCATCTTCCTTTTCCCCCAGTGTCATGTTTTGAAATAGACTGCTATGGCTTGCAGAAAAAGTTTTTGAACCAAAGAGTGACCCTGCCCTAGAGGCTTTGACACAGGAAGCTAGATCCTTTCTGGGAGGAGAGGGAGGGTGAAAGGCATGGCAGATGACCTGAGGAGATGGTTGAGGGACACATAGGAGGAATCAGCTCTCAGAGGTGGAAAAGTGAGTGATAAAGAGAGAGAGAGGAAAAAAATATCTGGCCTAGAAAATGTGTCAAGTGAGTAGTGACTTCAGTTACTTCAGTTACTGAAAGAGAATGGATGGAGACCTTGGATGTGTGCAGAAGAATAAGTGAGAAGTAATAAGTTGGAAGAAAAGTATGTGGGAAAGAAAGTATTTTATTCAGAGCGAATTGTCTTCAGTAGTCTGTAGATCACACAAGAGTTGTGAATGAAAGGGGTAGAATCCTTTGGGCTAAGACTTGCTCCTGAAGTCCAGCAGTTTGAATATACAAAGCAGCTGAGTGTATGTGAGTCTGGCGTGCGTGACACCCTTTACTGCAAAGCCTGTGGCACTGGTACTGCATGCACAGATAGAGGCAAATACATGGGTCTGTCAATCATGAGGTACTATAACATCTTCTAACATACAGGAAATTTTATGGAACATTTCATGGATTTCCAGGAGAGGATCTCTAAATATCTCCCTAAATTTCTGTGTTTCTTAAAGTACCCCTCAGTTTCATTTCTGACATCCCTCTCTGTATTGTCTAGAATAGAAGAGTATGTAATTAAGAAGTGGAAAACATACGCTGGGTCCTGAATCTTTTCCATGTAGTTCATTTTAGGGTCAAAGTAAAAAGTATGCAGCACTGAATGCACTGAACTCAGAGTGAAAATGATGAAACCCTGCATTTATTCCTGATCTCCAGCCTTATAGCTACTAGGAAATAAGTACCTTGAAGGGAAACCAGGGAACTGCCACTAGCAGTCTGCATGACCACAGATAACTCAATTAACTGAGAAGGGTTATGGGCAACTGGGGAGTTATATGGCGGACTGTTGCTTGCTGAAGGATGTTTATGCTTTCTAGGTTGGCAGAGACTGGGTGACTCTCCAAGCTGGAATGAAGTGCACCCAGGAAGAACTAGATATGAACCTTGTGAGATACCTCCATACAGGAGCTATAGGGTCTAAGAACCAAGACAGCTTCACATTTTATCTGTGGGATGAGTACAACAGATCCCCACCTGTGAACTTCTACATAAATATAAAGGACATGGAAAAGGGTAAAGATCTGCTTGTGTTTCCTATTTTAGAAACAAAGATGATCATCCTGATAGTTCCCCAAGCACTATATAGACAAGTCCCCTGCAGACTCCGAAGCCTGCCTGCTGGGATTTCATTGCCCAGATGTCTGTATCCCTGAAGAGGTGGTCCGAGGAGTACAAAAGACTGGCAATTTTTTAAACGTTGACTTCCAGGACCTCCAGATACTCTTCAGATAGAGTTGACATCATCTTTCTGAAAATAGTTTTTTGTCCAGGTAAATTAAAGTGATGGAAAAGGGCAAGAACGTAATAAAGTAGGCAAAACGCTGTTCAAGAGCCCTGACTTCCAGTTTTATGTTCTAATCTTATGGTTTCTGTTCTGCTAATGGATCCCTGTGACAGCTCTGATGTTGATCAGGGTAACCTGACACTACCAAGATTGGAACAGGGGCCCAGACAGGTTGTGCCATCTCTGTGCTTGGAGGTGTTCCAGCTCCAATGGGATAAAGACCTGAGCAAAATGGGATAAAGACCTGAGCAATCTGGTTATGGCTGGTCTCACGACTGACCTTGTTTTAAGCAGAAGATTGGACTGGAGACATCCTGAAGTCCCTTCCGATCTGAATTTCTTGCTTTTTCTATTGGTGATGGCTTGCATGTGGGTAAATGATGCATAATAGATGAAATTTCAAATCTGCATGACTATTTTATATCATTTTATCTATCCTGCAGGAGATATTGCTGTTTTCATAAAACCTCTTAGAGTGCAAAAAGGAGATCGAGGCTACATTACAACAGATGCCCTCCTTGCAGCGGATGGAACAGACAAACCGGAGGAGCTCCTTTACGTGATAACCTCTCCACCTCAGTATGGACAAATAGAGTATGTCAGCTATCCTGGCATCCCCATTTCCAGCTTCAGTCAAATGGACGTCGCAGGCCAGATAGTCTGCTATGTTCATAACACTAACCACACACCTGTTTCTGAGGATACATTCAGGTAAGACATTTTAAAAAAGCTTAATTTCCCCTTGAATTTCTTGGGTACTTTCCGGAATAAAAGAGTATTAAAATGAGGAGGAGGTGTTGGGAATCTTAATATGCATACAGCAAAGATGTTTCTGCTTTAGCAGATGCAGTTATGACTGCCTTAGTAATAAATACATTTTCTTACTGACTCTGAAATAATAGCTTAAGCCACCTTAGTGATAGTTTCTTGGATATTATTAAAACACTCAAACATACACAGGAGAGACAATGCGGAAGAAGAACTAAGAATGTGGTTTTGGAATTTATCTGCGATTTCCTGCCGTTGCTGGATGTGGTTAATGTGCTCAGTCCAGTTGCTAGCTGGACTAACTGATATCTTCCTTTTTCTTATTATTTATTATATTTATTCTGTTGTAGGCTTTTTGAATCCATTAGTCATTCTTCAATACACTGATAAGCAAGCCGCTTATCTATTCTGCCACAGTAATATTTCAAAAATTTGTGTAGACAACTGGATTTTTTTTGAGTAAATAACTACTTATAGACCCAGTTCAGCAGCTTAATGACAGTTAAGTTTACTTTCACCTGCATCCTGGATCCGGCCATTCGATCAGCTTAGATTAGATTCATCCTAAAGCAAGTATTGCTTTATATTGTTCTTTCTTGAACCACTCTTGGTTATAGAATGAAATGATCCAATGAGTTATCCTTGGGCAAAGAGGTGCATTGCTGATGAATGTATCTGGTTTTGGTAAAAGAAAGAATGCAGGCATTTCTTTTTCTTAAGGAAGAATGCCAAATTCTTCTTAGCTTTTGACAGAAAATGGAGTACCTGTAAAATCAAAAATCTCCACAGGAAATAAAAGGTAATTGTTTTTCTTTTGTGACTACCAGTTAGAACACTTAGCTCAGAAGAATTGCAATCCAGATGTATGAAAGTTCCCTTTACACTCTCTCTTATGAATAGGATTCCTGGTTTGAACCGCGTTTTCTGTGATGTCTGAAGAAGCTTAAAAGACACGTTGCATCATTCAGACAGTGCTTTTCCCCATAGAAGCTGAGGAGCGGGGAATGGATTCATGAATAGGTCCATGTATGACATCAGGGCAACTAAGGCAGACATAAAAAGTTGAGCAAAATGTGATTTTTGGGATGTTTCTCAGATGAAACTTTTTGAGCTATTCTTTCCAATGAAATCGATGTTGTGGAAAATATGATTTTCAACCATCTCCAGTCATGAGGTTTTTCTGATGGCTGCTAGTAGTCATAACATAAAAAGTGAACGAATGTTATTTGGCTTGATGGAAGCTTAGTGACATGGTTGTGGAATTTTATGACTAAAACTAAAAGTAGCCAGTACAAGGAAAGATCCTGTTGTGTCACTCCTTGGATGGATAGTACAAAAACATGGATTGTGTCAATGTGACTTTTGTACCAGACTAATGAAGGCATTCAATGATCCAACCAATATTCAATGATCAGGACAACAATTCCAGGGCAATCGTGCATGCACATAAGCCCAGTGTTTAGTCTAATGACTTAGAACCAAATTAGAAAGTCAGCTTTGTTAAAAGAAAGGTTATGATGCTTCAGTAAATATGCATATCCATTTTAATCACAATAATTGATGTTCCATGATGTTACCATTTGGCAAAGAATTGGTCTTGTGTAGACATATAAATATTGGGGCAGGTTATTACCTTAACAAAGAACGGTAATGTTAATTATATTGGGAAGGGGTGCTAATTGATCAGATTTTTACCTTCCACCGAAATATTTTCTTCAGTCATAAATTTGCCTGCATTGTTTGGTGCTGCTGGCCTGGAAGAAAGATTTGGCAGTGCTTGTTTGGACAGATGACTTCGAGTGATTAGCAACCTGACATCAGATGCTGGCAGCAGGACACTAAAGGAACATACTAATGTCCTCCATTTTGACACACTGGCTCAATTTTGTAATGAGCTGGCACTATTTATGATTCCATTTTTATGTTTTAAATGCCATGACAGATGGTAGGTCCTTCAGCCAACTCTATTGCCATGGAGCTGCAGAAAGCATGAAACCTTGGTAGTGGTGAAATCAAACCATGCGACATGTCCTCCTAACTATGTCTGAGATTTGTCCCCTAAATTTCATCAGAATAATGAGAAGGACTTCTTGGACACAGTCAGCTTCATTACCTGTGAAATCAAGTGGCACACAACATTTGCATTGTGATTTTCAGTGTTATGTATATAACCAAGAGCTTTTCTCCTGTCTGGTGTCTCATGTTCTGTAAAGGATTCTGGATGAATCTTTGCTTTCATGAAATGAATTGTCCGCTGTAAGTCTTCCACTTAAGTATCACTTGAGATGTCATCAAAATGACTTTATAGACAACAAAAGAAAAGGTTAATTTCTCAATGAAACAAATTCTCTTCAGCTGTAATTTTTCAGACCTTTTGAGGCAGAGATAAGGTCTTAACTGTTTTGCCTTTTTTAGCATACTATTTATGATCATTATTCAAGTTGCATGTTTGATTTCAGCTAGGATGCTGACAACAAAATCCTTTTACCATTGGCACAATAGCATTAGGTCAGTAGAGACAGATGTCTCTAGGTTCCCAGATGGGAATATTGTCCTCAGTAAACATATTTCTAACTCCTATACAGTCCCTGGCCTGCCTATGCTCATTCCCATCTGTTTCATGGCATAGTGCCTGCTTACGAGTTGATGAGGCCCCAGTCACTCAGCATTGGTGAGGGCAGTGAAGAGCTTTAGATGGACAGCACAGGTGATATAGCTATTCCATGACCTACTCAAGGTCACTTACATTCAAACCATGCAACCACAGACTCCACAATTCTTTGAATACTCCTGTGAGATCTGTAGACAACGTCCAGGAGCAAGATGTGGCACATAGTGTCAGCTAGTCCTCATTTCACTTACAGTAGGCATAAGCATGATAGTTGCAGGACTGCTAGTTCTCAGATTGCCTGAAACTTCCCACAATATTGTCCATACAAGATCAGCTGTGCAAGTGTATTAAGTGGGTAAGTATAAAGCACTGGATACTGGGGAAGGAAAAGGGAAAGGCAGGGAATGTGGATATTCTACCACAAAAATATTTCTTTGCAAAGTAGCTTTGGTCTGACCTGGGCCTTTGGTACTGTATTTTAGCTCAGACAAAACAAACTTGGGTAAAGGCTACTCTGCAAGGAGCTTTTGTAAACACTGTGCAGCATATTCACAGTAAAAGGGAAAGAATGAAAAAGACCTCTGCACAAACAAAGCTTATTCTTGCATTCTGTATGATGTGATGTGAAGAACAGCCTGATCTTTCCAAGGCAATTTTTATGTTGATATACCCGCCAAGTATTTTGTTATAAGATATGGCATGACAACATACAATATTCTTGCTTTTAGTGTAAGTATATAGGTAATACCTTGTCAGTGAAGCCTAGAATGAAATATGGAGACTACAAGATTGGTGTTCTCTTTGCATTTATGCTCTACAAAACTTGATGATTAACTTCTGTTACTTTTATAGTAAATACCCATACCCAACTGATAGGCTTCCAACACATATTCTCTCCAGCCTTGAATGCCTTTTTCTTTCTCTTCTTTAGAAAATGAAAAGTAATCCCAGTGAAAAAAATGAATCTTTAGTATATAGACAGAAATATTCCTGTTTTGGATAGCAGTTTTCTTTATGTTTTCTTTTAGATGGCTAAGACTGATGGCTGTATCCTCAAAATCACTCCCCTGATCTTAGTCAAATTCTTATGGACACAGTGTCAGTCTTGTCATCACTTGTCCATCTGCTTTCACATTTTTAAGTCACACACCTATCCCGCTATCTGGGTTTGAGCTCAGACCTCTTCTAGCTCTTCATATATTCTGCAGCATCATGACAGGCAAATCCTGTAGTGAAGGTGTGTATCATTGTTTCATTTCAGTACATGGTGAATCAAGAACACATGCTGAAGGCTGCCTTGCCTCTCTTTGCCAGATTCATCATCAGCAATGGACTGAGGACTAAGCATGGGACATTCACCATCTCCCTGGAGACAGTCGACCAAGCTTTACCCACTCTGTCTAGAAACACGGGGTTAAGATTAGTGGAAGGCACCATGGCGCTCCTTTCTCCTGATGTCCTGCAGCTTTCAGACCCAGACACTTCCAGAGAAAACCTTACCTTCCTCTTGGCTCAGGTCCCCCAGAATGGTCATCTGTATTATCGAGGGGCTGTGCTACTGCAGCACAACTTCACCCAGCAAGATGTGGACAACATGGATATTGCATATAAACACCAAGGCGGGGATTCCCAGATTGACATATTTACATTTGTTGCAACAGATAGGACTAATCAAGGCTTCATCGTGCATGGGAGGGTGCAGACCGAGCCAGTGGCATTCACCATTCAGGCAAGTGTGGCCGTAGGCCTGCTTAAAGAGATATAGAGTATGATAAGGTGCAAAATGTAGTGATTTGGACTAGAATCCATATTTTCTGACTGCAGTTGATGATCCAACTGAAATATTTACATAGGAAAATATTTTCTTTCTATGGTTTGTCAATAAACAACCATGAGAATGAACTATCACAATGCATTACTTAGGCAAAGAAGTTTATATAGTGCAAAGAAAGAGATTACACTTGAGAAAAACATACACTTATATTTGCAAATATTTTCTATAAGGAATTTCAATCATGAAGGTTAGCATAACTATGTTAAGGAAGAAATTTCCTCTTTTTCTGCTTTCCCATTTAGTACTTCACCCCATGTGTTTGCATGTGCTGGATATTAGGATGACAGATGATCAATGAGTCACAGAAATATTGAATAACAGCCACTGCTTCACTCCTGCACCCAGTCTTCCTTCTGAGAGTTGTAAGATTCCTGCTCTGATTCTTCCCTTCCTTACTAGCATCATTCTGTTCCCTTCTGTTCCTTTTCCATTTATTTCATTTATAAGTTCTTTCCATTGTGTCATAGGCTCAGATGTCCTTGCTATGACTGTATCTGGCACTTATTATTTATCTGGCACATTTTAGTATGAAAAAAAAAGCCTGGTTGCATTGTTTGTCAGGTGTAAATTTCAAAATAATGATACTGGAAAAGAGGGTGTAGCTATTAACTTCTGATGGCAAAGCCATCAGGTGGTATTAGGAGAAGAAAGTGTAATTGTATCAGAAAATGAGCAACAGTAACAACTGCTGTGGGGTAATGAAGCTAGAAGACCTACCAAAAGACCCTCAAAGCTAGAAAACATACCAAAAGTTGTGAAAGGTAGCACAGATCGAACAGGACATTTTTAGCAGGTGTTTGATTGTCATTGTCACAATCCTTAGATTTCCTTGCTTGTCATAGTAGTCAGAGGTAAGAAACCTTTGCTGGAGTTTTTCATTTGCTATTTAGGAAAAGATACCAAAAGAGGAGAAGGAGTATGGCAGGGGGATGAGTACAAGGTGCACAGGGTGTTTGAAGATGCCCTTCCCCTCTGGTATGTGCTGTATCCCTCTGTGTGCAGCAAGCAACTAGGCAATCTGGACCTGGACACCTCTCATGGGAAGTAGTATTTATCTGGATGTCAAATTTCCTCTGAAGCAGACTGCTACTCAGTCAGAATGACTGTTACATTCCTCAGCATACTCTTATCTTTCAGTAAAAGTAGTAATGACAAGGAGCATGCCGATTCTGCCACAGAAATATTAATTTCTCTTACTTCGAATTAGGTGGACCACATGGACAAAACAGCACCAAAAATTATTCATCTCCATTGCTTTACTGATGTAGAACTGCTGAAGAATGGAAATTATGGGATCTATATTACTGCCAGGAACCTAAAGGCATCTGATCCCAATACAGAAAATGACAAAATAATTTTTAAGATTACACGAGGTCCTCATCATGGCTACCTGGAAAATATAACCACAGGTACAGCCCTACAATCTCTATATTCTTGGACTTGCTGAAGCCTAAAAACTTATCTTGTTAGTATTTGCTTGAGCAAGGAAGCCATATATTCTTAGAAAACTTCAAGTTAGGCTGCAATATGATAAGAAAGCTTCTCTGTTAAGATCGGAGAGTCATATTAATCATAAATGCTTAAACCATTTGTGCAGAATGTTAAGAGTTTTAACTCAGAAACTGCTTCTTGTGAAGCCTGAAATACTAGCATAGGAAGTAGCAAAACTATTATATAGAATGCCTACTTTGAGTTTTATGTCAAGGAAATTAATGCTGAACTGGTCATTTGAGAGACATATCACATAAGAATGAACTGGCAGGGACGCTTAGTGGGCTAGTATGTTGCTGCATAGTTATACAAACAGATTTTTGTAAGTTCAAAGTCTAATAAATTTTTAAAAATTTTGAAAACAGTCTACATGAGCTATGTGCTTCTTGTTTAACAGAGTTTTGACTCATCTGACCATTTCTCTTCTTTTCTAGGTGGCTTTATCCATGAAGAGTTTAGCCAAAAGGATTTGAACAGTAAATCCATACTTTATGTCATCAATCCACTGCAGGAAACGAGTTCAGATGACTTGGAGTTTCAAGTCACAGATCCCAATGGAAATGCAGCAGTTCCCCAAACGTAACTTTGATCTTATGCTCTAAGCTCCGCAATGCACAATGTCTTCTGCAGTCAGGCCTCTGCGACAGCTTCTGCCTTAGGTCAAATAAAGCACTGCTGGATTTGCAGCAGAGCAAAAATGAAAGCCGTGACAGTTTCAAATGCTTAAATTGTCATTTCTTTCATTAAAGAATAAGGAAGCTTCTATCCTTCAGGATAGGGCTAGTTTCGAAGGCCTAATTTCACATCACACTGGGCATCTGAACCTGGCGCCTTATGGCCTACGAGGCCTCATAGAAAGAAGACATCTAATTCTGCATGTGAGAGTAAGAATTAGGCCCACAATATCTGGAGAGTTGACATGCTGACTGAGGGAAGGATTGTTGCTTCCTGTACGTGCTCCTGCAGCTGGAGGTCACTCTTGTGCTGTGCTAGCTGTAATAAACATGGGATTACAGCAAAGGGGAAGCTCTCAAACAGTAAAAGCCGTGAGAGATGTATATTTGCATGAGAGCATGGAAAGAAGAAGGTAGAGAACATAAACTCTTGGTTGCGTACTTCCAGTGTTTCAAATAGGCCTATCATCAAAACTTCTTTTTGACATACGATAAACTTACTTTTGACATATGATAAACCTACTGTATAGAAGTAAGAGAATGGGTCATCATCTGAGCTCTACCTTCATAGTCATGACTGAAAGCAAGAGTCCTCCCACTATGGGTTTCTTTTTATTTCTGCAAATGGGGCTGAATGTGCAAACGATTTAGTTATTCTGAAGTAACTGGCAAAAGCAAAAGCAATTTCTGTGTGCTAAATTAGCTATTCACGGGTAAATGGAAACAGGAGATGTGTGGCGTCCAGCCCCTCTGTGCTGCACTTCCTTGCAGGGAAGAGGCTGGAGACAGCATTTCCGCAGTTACATGTTATGCCAAAAGATGTCCCTGTAGTCAAACGCATCTGAGCACAGCTAGCACTGTGTTCGGCTCAATTCCCTGCTGCACAGCGTTTGCTCAGAAAGACATTGGCATTAAAACCATCACTAAAATGCAGCAGTGACATGAGGGAAAGCATGAGTTCTTGCATACCAATAGCAATATATTATATACTTTTAGACAGGAACAAAAAGGATTTTTTTTTTCTATAAAAATAGATGCATGTCAGAGAAGTAGACCATATCTGTTACCTGCACTGGACTTTGAAACAAAGGGGAGCTTGGTTATAAGGGAAAAGTCCATGCTTTTAATACTTCATTTAAAAGTTGGTGACAGATTTGTTTGAACAATCTACTATGTAATTGTCTCTGAGTCAAAGGCAAGTTTGATTTGCATGCTGATAGTATTCAGATTAAATCCCAGCTTTTATTTGAATGCTGCTGGACTACACCTGGCACACTCTTTAGTAAACAGAAAATAAATGAGCTTCTAAATAGGATGTCTTTCCCAGGGTATCGAAGAATCCAGGAGGATAGGAGAGATCATCCACTAGTGTTAGAGCTGTTCAAATCCTAAGGGTTGTAGAAGTCTGTTTTTTTTTTTTTAAAAAAAAAAAGTTCAATTAGATTTATGATTAGCACAGCCTATAATCCTTCATTCTGCTGTCTTTCATTCATATCTGACTCTCACAATTTTTTAACTGCAGTTTTTTAAAAAGTTATACGTTTATCAGCTCTCTCCTGCAGCATGGTTTGGTTGCATTCCCTCAAAAGCAATTCCAAAATTCACTATATGACTGGTTTCAGCTCCTTCTGTGTATGAGGAGAAGGTAGAGAAAACCTAAAATTAAGGGAGTGAACAGTGGATAGAGGCAGTGAACTGCTGGATAATACCCTATATACTAGAGGAGGAGGGAACCAGTTAGAGGAGAATTGAAGAAAGGTGGGAAGAAGAGATTTAATACCATGGATCCACAAAATCACAGGGATGGAGGGACCCATAAAGAGCCAGTTGTAGATTATCTTCATTTATCTTATTTTATGGCCATATGTTTATTTTCAAAGCTGCTGGAGAAATAAATTGCTGCTGTGAATCTCCTGTCTGGTTTTCAGATGATGTTCAGCCTTGATTTGGGGTAGACAGGCACACAGCTGGAAGATTTATTAACTGTTTTGCCCCCTTTCTAATCAGCCAAATCACACAAATATGTTGATTTCAAGACAAAGACTTAGTATGTGTATTGGCAGAATCAACACTCAGGAAAGAAATGTCAGCTTTTTGAACCCTCGGGCTGCAGGGGGTAGAAGCAGCAGTGGAGTTTGTTTTGGTTTTGGGTTTTTTTTTTGCATAGGTTTTCCTTCTTTTCCCCACAGATTGGAACTTCGGTGGTCTCGGATTGAAATGCAACAAACTGAATACGAAGTGTGCGAGAATGTAGGAATGGTGACACTGAAAATCATCAGGGCAGGATACTCTGCAGACTCTGCCTTTATTGTGGTGAAGGTAAAGCTAAAAACAAGGCCTAAGTGGAAACTGAATGATAAAAAATAGAGCCAGTTAATTTCTTCCAGAGATTTAAAAGATATTCCAGTATTCAGCAAAAATGCTATCAAATTCAAACCAACTTCATCAGGACATTGTCGTTGGCAAAACATGTGCTTAAAAAACTTCTGATTAACAGTTTTAAGGGGAAATGCTGATTAATAAAAACTGAGCTGTTTAGGAGAATTATTTTAGTTTTGATGAACTTTTGTGAAATATAAGTTTTCTCTGGCATTCTCCTGAGGAGGCTGGGTTTCCACTCAGGAATCCAGATGTTCATGGGTCCTGGGACTTCTTATATCCTTACCTACATTAAGGAGTCCAGAAAATATTGGAGTTTCAACTCCACTGTGTAAACCAATGCCTGTCACTTCTCCCCACCATTTCCCTGCCATCAGCCTAGGAAATGATCCAGGGGACACCAAGACCTTGGGTAATATGGACCCAATTTTTAGGACCTTTCATGTTCTGAAAATTCAGTTGAAAGATGAAGATTTTTAATATTTTTGTAAAACATGTTTTGTGCAACTTGCTTTCACAAAATTTATTTTTATCCATACTTTTTCCCAAATTTCCCAAGATTTTATCGGCTCCCCTTGATAACAAAATCCTCACACAATCTATCTCCCTTGCATTTTCTCATGATTATAATCCTAATTAGAAACAAAGGTTTGATTTTTATTCCACTGAAGTCTAGAGTCACTGGGGCTGACAGGCAGCCCGGGGTGCAAATTCTTCTTCCATCAGCAGAAATGAGGGCAAGAGGGGACAAGGACACAGTGAGGGAGCAGAACCAGGCTGATGCTACAGGGCAGGAACCAGCTTTTTCAGGAAGATGCTATCCAGCACAGTCCAGTAGAGGTCTGGGAGGTGAGGAGAGAAAATGAGTGATTTCTCCTGATTATGTGTTTTAAACCCTGAGCAAGGCTGAGTTGATGTTGAGACTCCATGGGGAGATGCAGCAGCTCCTGCACCCATCAGAACATGCTGGTTTGGTGAAACAGATAACAGATGGCACTTACTGTTTGATTTCTTCTCAGATCAACGAAATATCAGCTGTGCTGGGAAAGGACTTTACAGTGACTCCCTCTAAACTTGTTCAGTTTGATCCAGGTATGGACCAGTGTGCTGACTAATTTTAAAATAAACCCAGTGAGTGAGAAAGCTGCTGTTTTGAAGAGAGAAGCTTGTTACATTTATAGCTAGAGAAGCTGTGCAAGCTACTTGGTCATTTGCTCAAAGTGTAGTGGGCCTCCTGTGTGAATCAGCATCCTTATGTCTTAGGGTGAGATGATACATAATTTCTTTATTTCAGTTAAATTATCAAAAGTGTGGTAATGGTGCTAATTGGCTTCCTAATCTCCCCACAGCCAGCTTGGGAAGGACTAGTCCTAAACTGAGCTATGAAATGCTTTGAAGAATTGAGATATATTAGGAGAGATCTAGGAAACCCCTCAAATTTACAGAGGCTTGAGAATAGTTTAAATTATGCAATGTGTCCACAACCAGAAAGGTATAAAAGAACCCCAAAAATGACAGAGCTCACCTCCACTTGCATGTAACCAGAATAGATGTCTGGCCTTGGCTAAGGCTGTAAGTAGCTATAAATAACAGTAACTATACTAACAAACTGGCCTCATTCTTGCTGTGGGACTATCAATACCAAAAATGAACAAAAAATGTCAATTAAAAAAATAAAAAAAGCTCACTCTGTTTTGCAGTCTTTATTACTGTCATGTTCCAGGTGTGCCTTTGGTGTCTCAAGAACAAATATTACCATTTTGAAATTTAGCTTCATCCAGAAAACTTGTCTTTGTCCATGTAAATATATTATCCAGGAATGAAAGCACATTTGCAATCATAATCCTTTCCACGTAGAAGCCTGGACTTGTAGAACTCATTTTGCAACTCTATTTGACCATAAAAAAACAGTTTAAAAGTGTTCATATGCCTCTCAAAAGCAGATAAAGGAATGTAAGGCCGTATAGGAGTATAGGGCAAGTGGGGATTTTCACACTAGGCAGTATGGGAGTATAAGGCAGGTAGGGATTTCTACACCAAAGCTTTTTTTTTTTTTTTTTTTATGCAGGACTGTATCTCATGGACAAATTTGTACATTTACCTCTAATTTTTGGGCTACATTATATGGAAAATCTCTAACTTTGAATCCAGTTAAAGTTGAGTTAGAAATTTTATTCTCTTGGAAGCATTTTTTTTAACCTCTCTTGAGCAACAGTGACTTTGACGTAAATGTGTAGAAAAGGCAAGTTTTGGTTATTTTTCAGACATGGATTAGGAGGATTTAGCAATAGAAAATGGGAGAAATTAGAAAATCTGTCCTGATTTCTGTTATTTTTGAAACACATATGAAACCTCTGAAACTAGTAAGCTGAACTCTTTGGGGCTGTTTATTTAGCTTTTTTAAAAAAATTAATTGGAAGAAGGAGTCAAGAGCAAAGAGAACAGTACAAAACAATATGTAATGCATACCCATCATACAAACTATCTCTCCATCTTCCGTAATGCATCTCACACTCAACCTTAGGAGTCTTTGGACTGGAATGGCTGGAGATTACTGCCAGGATATTTTTTAGTGCAAGGCCATATTCAGCCATTTTCCTTTTCTGCACTGCTTCTCCTAGCACAGAATAGGCCAAACTCCTACTATGTTTCTCTGATTATCGTGGAGAGCCACATGCCTCTATATATATTCATAACCATGAATAAGCAACATGCACACTGTATCCTTGAGAGCTCTGTGTTCAGGCTTAACTTGAGAGGACATCTCTGAACTTTTACATCCTAGGACATCAATTTCTCTGGCCTTATCTTGAGAGTTTTAATGATTATTAAATAGTAGTGGCCTGTTTGGTAATGCTGATAGATTTATTTTATAAATAAATTTAGTCTATGCCAAGCGACTCTACACAATAGATTGAAATCAAGAAATTTCAAATGAATCTTAGGAGCAGAAGATCTAGCTCAAACTAATGAGTCTATTTGCACTGTGCTCAAACAAACTCTAGAGTCTTGCAGCTGAAAACCAACCTAGTTCTTTACCTTGGAATGATTTTTTATTATTTACAGCCCAGTGTAAATCTGAACTAACCTAGTTAAGACAAACAAATTAATCAAAATCTTGTAACTAGATACAAAATCTGCATCCTAAAAATTTGTAATTATAGCAAATGTATTCTTTGATCAATATGCAAATATTTTAAATAATTGCTTTGTCTCTAAAATTCAGCTTTCATGGTAAAGAAAGGTATGCTAACTCTCCTCCTTAAAATTGCAAGTGATGTCCTAAATATATGAATTGTAGCCATCACCTCTTTGTCTAAAGCTGCTTTTTTGTCACAGTGTACCTATTCAATGATCTGAATCATTCTAGGGGAAGAGTTTGATCTTTATGTTATTTGAGAGAACAGCAGGAGTCCAGTCAGTTGGTAGGAGCACAACAGCATACGCAGACATGCTGCATGCTGCATTCTGCCTGCAGACATGTTAATTAATATATTTCTTTGACACCCAGATTGATTGAAATATCAATTAAAATGTAATTAAAATGTTTATTTTTGCTAGGAATGTCAACCAAGATGTGGAATATAGCAATTACCTATGATGGATTAGAGGAAGATGATGAGGTCTTTGAAGTAGTTCTGAGCTCCCCTGTGAATGCCGTTCTTGGCGCTAGGACAAAAGCCACAGTGAAAATTTTGGACTCAAAAGGAGGTATTCTCTTTTAACATTCATCTTTAAAGTCTGGGACAATCTTGGCTGAGTAGCTACTTATTTTCAGCAAAAAATGTTGTTGATAATCACATCATATCAAAATGCAGTTTCTTTTTAGAGAAAACAGGCTTTATAGTTGCAGACTCGTTATTTCCTCTCAAAACCATGTCTCTCCTCTTAGGAAACAGAGGATGGTGAAAGCAACATATGAAAACTGGGGAGAGTTGTGGTGGGGAAACAAACCACTTTTCATAATGACAAGGCATAGTTATCAGTTAGTGAAAAAACAAATCCAGGTCCACTAAAGTTGTTTTTCGATGATGATGTGACAGTTGTAACACTGTTGCACAATTATTTTCATTTTGGTAAAGAAAATTAATAACTAAACACCATCCTTAAAAATAATTTTGTATTGTTCTACAAACACACTCAGAACATTAGAGCACAAGCAGTGATTATTATAGAGTTTAGGTCATTATTTCCTCATTATTGTTGTTCTTTTCAGTGATCTACTGTGGCATACCTTAGCGTTGAAACAACAATAGGAAACTACATATAACCAGCAAAGCAGCTGAGCCATCTGAAAAGTGAAGAAATTTTTCCTTTCAGATGCTCAGTGAAACATGAGCATTCATGAAATAGGTATTTTGAATACATATGTTGTGACAAATTAGACTTTGATTTTACCAAAAAAATCTTTTAAAAGTTTGTATATGTTTTCTCTTTAAAACTGATCATTTAAATTAGGAATTAATTGATGCAACTAGTGTGGAAAAACAATTGTGCCATGAGTTTCTACTTGGTGTGATGTGTTAGAGTATCTGAACATTAGTTAAAGATATCCCTCCCTATCCAAAAAAATACAACCTCAATCCAGATTTATGTATGAAAATATATATCTTCAGTAGATACTTGGATTCAGTAGATTCTGATCAGTGGTGAGATGGGTGCAGTATGTGCGATAACATAAGCATACAGGTAGCAGTTGTAATTAGGCAAACCACATAAATGAGGATGGCTGAACAAATAGCAAATCAACCACATCAAGTGAAAAAATCATCCAACTTTTAATGACAAGCTGTTTACATGCCCATGTCAATGTGACCACTTTTCTGTTCATGGAGTTAGAACTGACCATCTGCCATTTTTATGCTTTCAGGTCAGTGCAGCTCTTTCCATTCCTCTGGCCAAAATAAGCACGACTTCTGGGGAAGAGGCACGCTGATTCCAGTTTCCTCAGGCTCCTCATCACCTTCCAGGCCTGGCAGCACTCACTTGGAAAGGATCCCGCCATCTCCTTCCAAAGGGATGACAGAGCGTAGAGGGGACATGCTGCAGGAGCGCAGCCTGGCAAGTCAGTCAAAGACCAGGCTGAGAGTGATTGGAAATGGCAGAATAGTAAGTCCTTTCCACTGTGCAGTGATGGACTGATTTACAAGCTACTTGGGATTTGATCTCTTCATTTAGTAGACATAGTTTAGTGGTGATCCTACCTAACTACACAGTAACCACAAAATGCCCGATTTTGCTCTGAGTCAGACTTGAGAACTATTTGAAAATCCTGAAAAAAATAAATCCTGATTTTGAAGATATGTGTGAGAACAAGGAAGGAAAACAGAGCTGGAGAAATCTCATCAAGCAACTACCAAGAGTAATTATTCAGCTTTTAATCCTGTCTAATCTATAGGTCTGCTAGAAGAAAGAAGCAGGGTCTTGCTGAGGTCATGGGAGCCAGGGTCAACATATAGAAGCTGTGCACCTGGCACTGAAGTTTAAAGCTGAAAATACAGTTGGTTTAAACAAAGAACGGTTACTTAAAACTTGCCTGCTGAGTTTACCTCTTTAAAATGGTTTATGCTATTTTAATTAAGTTTTTATAACATTCCAATATGATCTTAAAAGGTTATAGAACCCATGCAAAGATACTTTAATGGATGATTTTTAATAGCTATTTTCAGAAGTCATCTGTTTCCAGACTCAGAAAAAATAACTAAACCAAGATATGTTCTGCATGATTTGATAGACTAGATTATGCAGTACATTTTGCATAGTTGCTTTGTTTCTATAACCATGGATTGACCCATCTCATTTACCTCTTCTACCTTTTCAGATTCATCCCTCATCTGTATTTAGAAATGGAACTGATGTTGTTTTCAAAGTAAGTGTATTCCGAGTGTTTGCTCATTCATTTCTGACTTCTTCCGAAGTGTGTTCTTTCCAAATCCTACATAGAACAACTTATTAATAGCTCATTCATGACTAATATTTCATTGTCAATTATTTTTTCTTTCTCTTTGGCAACATTTCCCCTAGCTTTGCAGCAATTTATTTTTAAATTCCTTTTTATTTTTGTTTGGATTTTTCTTTAAATATTTGCCTATAAATGGTAACCTTCTATTTTCCCTCTCCTATTTTATTTGTGTGTGTGTGTGTGTTACTGTAAAACCAAGTATCATGGGATGGTGTCACTCAGAATAGAGGAAGACTCCTCATCAGCTAAAGCAAACAGCAAGGCTGAAGTATCAGTAATTAACCAAGCACAGCCACAGATAGATACAAATGCCTCTAGGAAGACGGAAATCCCACAAGCTGATAAGGCAGAATTGGCATCTGAACCAAGCTCTAGCCATCAGGTACAAAACCTTTTGTTTCATAGGCTTTCTCACCATCTGTTGTCAGTCATACTGTTTTCCAAAATAATTTAACACCTCTGAGATCTGCAGCCTAACTCTTCCCACTCCAAAACAGAGTTTATGCAACACACAGATGAATTAACAACTCAGTTCTTGTAGAGTTTTCATATCATGAAGATATAGGAGCTATTTTATCTGTTCTTTTCACTTTGCTTGTTTTGTGTAATTATTTTACTTTAAATGATCATAAATGGTTTCATTTTCCAGGACGTCTACTCTTTTCCAAACGCCTGTACACCAGATCTAAAAGGCCTCTTGCACTATGAAGAAAGCACTCAAAGACTCTATCAGTGTAATGGAATAAGATGGAAGCTCTGGAATTCCCAAGATAAGGTAAAAATGTTGCCAGTAGCATGCCTGTAAATTAAACTACATGTTAATATCATGATGTACAAATGATTTTGAATTTTGGTATTTTTCTGTATGCTTCCCTAGTACATTCAGTCTATGTTTTACAAATGTAAAATAGATTATTTTGACAATTTTTCACTGAAAAAGAGTGCAAGCATTCCTTTCACTGAAAGGAGTACAAGCAATCTACTGCCAAGGTTTTAAATTTCCTTCCAATACATGTTTCCTGAGGCTCTTCATTTTTGATGAAACTCAAGAATATGCACTAATTTGACACTTGAAATCCTAAGATTTAGATTCTGAAGAACTGACACAAAGTGTATGTTTGTGTACACAAACAAATATATAATCTATAATGTCTAGCCATATGGATAAATACATAACCCCACATACAGCCTGACACACTGCTGGATTAGGGATTCTATAGGTTGATTCGGTAATCCAAAGCAAATATAAATGCTCCTGCTTTCTGCAAGAAGAATCTCAGATTTGGAGAAGAACTGACAATTACTTCTTCCACCAGACACTATGTTTTTCTTGCTGTAGAAGTTACAGCTGGAGATTCCTTACCCATTTGATTCCTTGATACCCATAGATAGTCAAGATTTACTTAAAAAAATATTTACGTGACATGGTACATATGAAGTTTGAATGGAAATAGTGTGTAACAGCAGAAGAAAGAGCAGGGAAAAAAGTGCTTAAATAATAGTAAATATGAAGAATACAGTTCCCAGAACACTGCTTTGAGAACACCACTCCCAGCCATAAATGTCACGCCAGTCGTGAAAAAGGCAAGAAGGAGGAGCCAGGCAACTACAGGCCAGTGAGCCTCACCTCCGTCCCCAGAAAAGTGATGGAACGGCTCATATTGGCCGTTGTTTCCAGGCACATGGAGGACAAGAAGGTGCTCAAGAGTAGTCAGCATGGATTCACCAAGGCGAAATCTTGCCTGACTAACCTGATAGCCTTCTATGATGAAATGACCGGCTGGATAGATGAGAGGAGAGCGGTGGATGTCGTCTATCTCGACTTCACCAAGGCTTTTGACACCGTCCCTCACAACATCCTCCCGGGCAAGCTCCGGAAGTGTGGGATAGATGAGTGGACAGTGAGGTGGACTAGGAACTGGCTGGATGGCAGGGCCCAGAGGGTGGTGATCAGCGGTGCAGAGTCCAGTTGGAGCTAGTGGTGTGCCCCAGGGGTCAGTCCTTGGTCAAGTCCTGTTCAATTCATTCATCATTGACCTGGATGAAGGCACAGAGTGCTCCCTCAGCAAGTTTGCTGATGACACAAAACTGGGAGGAGTAGCTGATACCCCAGAGGGCTGCGCTGCCATCCAGAGGGACCTGGACAGACTGGACAACTGGG